TTACTGCATGTTTAGGAGCGCGGCTGACTGAAGTGTTTCTAATTTTTTTTATTTAAAATTGTTTTGATATATAATATAAAATAAATTGTTAATTACGCATTCCTCCTTCTTCGGGGTGTCCTCAGGCCGAGTTTATCACTATTTGGATGTAGTTTGTACGTGAAAGTTGACTTTTTATACTAAGAACAAGCCGCAGATGTTGACTTCTGGGGCCCCCAGTTTGTCTCCTCAACGACATTACGGTAAAGAGCACACCGTGTGTCCCAGCTCCTTCACTGTTTGAAAGAAAACCAACCACCTCGCTGCCAGGGCAAATCATCCTTGGCTGGCGGCTTAGCTGATTCAAAGAACACGAAATCATGCCAGCCTTTTCGTGTTTTTTTCAGCTCTCTCTTTTTTTGATTCGGAATACACTCTCGTTCTCTTGATCAATCCACTGTCTTTGATTTTGCCTAGTGGCCCTCACAACTTCCCCTCCTATCTTTCACCATCCCTGCCATCCTCCCTTCCTGAGATGGCCCTCTTGGGTTGGTCTTCTGTTTTACTTTAACAAGCAGTGTTTTCCATTTCTTTGTATATATATATATTTTTTTCTCTGGGTTTTGCTTTTAGAGCTTTGTTGACCCTTTCTCAATATTACACATGACGACAACAGCATTTTTTTCAATAAAAGGTCGCAATGCAAAATGAAACATAAAAAATAAAAACCCGAGTAACTCGTCATCTTTAAAGCCCCTCCAGCATTATCTTTCCCTCCAACCACCTTACTCTCTTTCTTCCCTCTCTTAAAAAAAAAAACAAAAGAAAAACATTGTTTCTGTCCCTGAACTACTGCTCTTTTTCGTGTTCTTTGAATTGTTTTTTTGGAGATATTAATTACCCCACAATTAGAGAAAGAGTAACTGTGTTCTGCTTGCTTAAAACATGGCGTTTGTTGAATCACTGTCAAAGACTGCCTCTGTTTTTGTTTTCGGTTTTGTGCTGTTGAATTGCTTTGTTGTGGAAAAGTTTAGATCTCATGCCCAAGAAGTGACCCCACTCTTGCCACATGATGAAGGTAAATGGTCATAATTCAACAATCTCCATTTTTTTTTTGTCAGCAACTCAAAATATTTGGCAGAATAAATGGTTTTTTCTTTCTGGGTTTTCTTCGTGTATTGGCCAAGTGTTCTCGTTCTTAACATTAGTTGACAGACATGCTCTTGTCTTGTTCGTTGGAGGAAACTGTTGTTTTGACTTTTGGATTTTTCATTTCTCTTTAAAAACTTTTTTTTTTTTTTATCTCTTCTTGTCAAAAAAAATTGTGTTTTATTTATTTTTTTAAGATTAATCGGGGAAATATATTGCATAAATTGGGAAATAATAGGAAAAGAAGAGGAATTCGGTTTCTGGTCATAAAAAATTAATTTGATTTATTTCTAAATAAAAAGTATTTTTGAAAATGTTACTTAAATGCATGATTTGTACAGTTTTCTTGAAAAAGAAGAAGAAAAAAACTGTTCAATTTCTTGTTGCAATCAAACAAAAGAAATAAAGTACAAGAAATTTGATAAAATATATATAAAACGATGCTTATACAATTCAAGAAGTGAGAAGGTGATATTATTAAAAAATATATTTTTCGTTTCTTCAGCGTGACATATGTTTGGTATGTTCATCGTTTCAAGTAGCAACTGTTGCTTGAAAGTTGCATCTGTTCAACACGGCTTTCATTTATGGTAGAAAGATTCTTGCCTCCCTGGCATATTTGTTAGAATAAAGTACAAGAAATTATTGAAAAGGTGATATTATTAAAATATATATATATATATATATATATATATATATATT